TAAATAGTACTTCAATGGTAAAACCATGACTATGCTATCTTTTCATATTAAGGCATCTGCATTATGAAAAACTCTGAATTTCATCTGCATTATAACACATTTAGGGTTCCTGTAAAAAAGGAAAGTAATGCAACAAGGAATTCAAGTTCTTAAGATGAAGACATACATTTGAACGATTCACGAACGTCATCATGATTTGGGTGACAGTCATAGAAATATGTGTCACAGATGATCATGGATATGTCGTGGCAAAAAAAATCCATCATCTTTTCCTTAATTGTGAAATAACCAAATGCAACTTATCACCGAATGTGTAATTGTCATGAGTATCACAACGCAATTTGTGAAGAAGAAACAGTTTATCATTCAAGAGCAGCCGATTTCAACCCAGGCTTTTGAGTTGGGTTCGTATCACCTAATCTTACGTTTTCTGTGAAACCTAGTTTGACATGTACAACATTGTGTTCCTGTAGCTGTTAGAACGAAATACATCGGAAAATATGATAGAATAATACATTAATCGACCTTCCTGCATGTCTTAAATAATTAACTATATACCTAACCGACATTTTTATAGCATATCTGTACCATTATTATTTAACTAGATTGTATAAACTGTTACAACCCTAACTGGAAGTGGTGATTTATTTTTTCAATTACTGTCTTTTTCGACATATTTTCATGTCATTTTGTTGTATTTAAAATAGTTGTCATGATCTATATCACAATAAAAAGGTGTGAATCTGTTTTCAAATTTCAAATATTTAGCAAAATGATGTCAATTTAAATTCAAGACGGCCTCCGTGAAAAAATTCAAAATATGTTGGCTACCCCTCTAATATGCTTAAGTACACCATAAAGAACGTATGTGCCAAATCCTATGCTTGTATCACCATTTGCATGATTTTGTCAAAATTCGGTACTAAGCCGCCCAACTGAAAAGTAAAATAACAAAAATACCGAACTCCAAGGAAAATTGAAATTGGAAAGTCCCTTATCAAATGGCATAATCAAAAGCTCAAACTCAAACTTTAATTCTAACCGACTTTCATTGATAATTTCTAAATGTTAGTCAAGATATGAAACAGACATAACTCTATCTAAAGTATACTTTATTTTAGAGTTAGGGTTAGGATTAGGGTTAGAGTAATGGGGTAGATGTGATCAACATGGTCATTAAACTTTGAATTGTTCAGTTGGAGGACGACATCTATATAGTAGTACGTGAAGTTAAAGGTCAATTGCAGCTTCTTTATATTTTTCTTGAATAGCTCATACATTAAGTCTGTCTTATAAGAATGAAGGAATCAGCTCAGACAGCTGGCAAGAAGACGGTCACAAATTCAGATTGTCCTCCAAACGTAATAAATATGTTTTCTTTAAAATAACCATCATCTTGGTATGTCTCTTCCTAAAAAAAATATTTATACCTGTGTTGGCTGTATTTTTTTAAATGAAAGTTAGACTAATTCTTTAATATGTTTTTTAAAGCTAAAATCAGAAATACATGTGTGAAAGATAAAGTTAAATGTTCTATGTTATATACTTTGGGTAAAGAACCCTGAAGAACTCTGATCTCTGAAAGTGTGCCTGCTTAATTTACACAGTCATTCGAAAAACGATTTATGTTCGGCTTACTTATTGGGTTTTTTTTCTTTTCATTTTCATTTAGTATCAATTATGCTATTACGTAAAAAACTGCCGTTTTAGAAGTCTTGTGGTGAATTTTGTATTAAAAAACTTTGATATCAATATAAAAATAAGGAGATGAGGTATGATTACCAATGAGACAGCTATTCACCAAAGTTCAAACGAAGTTGATGTTAGCAATTATAGGCAACCGCACATTTTGTACAGAATGTCATTTTTAATTACTTTTAAAATAGAAAGATACTGAAATTTATAAAATTCAATAATCATTTCTTATTGACTGTTAAAACTTTATCTTACAAATATTACTTAAAGATTAGTATCGTTTCATTTATATAGGAATTATATATGCAAGCAGGGATCTCCTCTTGGATTCCCAGCACCAAGTCTGATTAAAACCAGCCCCCACTATCCACTTGCGTTTGTACAAACGCAAGTGGATAGTGGGGGCTGGTTTTAATCAGACTGCCCAGCACCACTCTTGATTTTCTAACATCTAAATTTGAGTTTGAGATTATATGAGAAAAGCTTGGAAAATAATTCTTATTCAGTATAATATTAAAATACTATAACTAAGTTTTTGTCATAACATATACATATACATACTTTTTAAAGAGTATTGCAAAAGGAATAATGTTTAACATTATAAATATTTTTCAACTGTTAAAGAAATAAAATAATGATTCGTTAACCTCCTTCTTTGATTTTTTTTCTGTCCTGATCCCTGTACATGTGTTTTCATCTAAATGAGAAGATCAAAATCTCTTTTTTTCATAATAGGGAAAAACAAGAATGTCCATAGTAAACGGATGCCCCACTAGCACTATCATTTTCTATGTTCAGTGGACCGTGAAATTGGGGTCAAAAGGAACACGTGTACTAAGTTTCAAGTTGATTGGACTTCAACTTCATCAAAAATTACCTTGACCAAAAACTTTAACCTGTCCACTCGCACTATCATTTTCTATGTTCAGTGGACCGTGATATTGGGATCAAAACTCTAATTTGGCATTACAATTGAAAAGATCATATCATAGGTGAGACAGACGGACGGACGCACAGACCGAAAAACATAATGCCCCTAGTCGGGACATAAAAAGAAAAGATGTCGGTAGCTTATATAGATAGGATTTAATCGTCATACATCTATGGTTTTATTATATGCATTTATTTGATAATTCTAACCCATCTTAAAATCCAGAGAAATGACAATGGCTGGCTACAAATTACAAATAAGCTTTTACAACGGTCCACTAACAAAGAGAAACAATGATGATTGGAAAAGACATAATAAAAGCATTATCGTTTTACAGCAATTGGTCACAGAAAAACAAAATACATTATTCAGCTGTTTAACAAAATAATTAGCTACAAATCAAGCGTAAAATAGAACGTATTGTGGAAAATAACAATATTTCGGTTAAATAAAGAACTCTGATTTTCATCTGCATTATAACACATTTAGGGTTCCTGTAAAAAAGGGAAGTAATGCAACAAGGGTTTCAAGTTCTTAAGTTGAAGACATACATTCGAACGATTCACGAACGTCATCATGACTTGGGTGACAGTTATAGAAATATGTGTCACCGATGATCATGGATATGTCGTGGCAAAAAATCCATCATCTTTTCCTTAATTGTGAAATAACCAAATGCAACTTATCACCGAATGTGTAATTGTCATAGGTATCACAACGAGTGCAATTTGTGAAGAAGAAACAGTTTATCATTCAAGAGCAGCCGATTTCAACTCAGGCTTTTGGGTTGGGTTCGTGTCACCTAATCTTACCTTTTCTGTGAAGGGTATTGTGGGTCATTGTTTCTTCTTTTCTGTGTAGGCTATTGTGGACTATTGTTTTTCCTTTTCTGTGTAGGGTATCGTGGACTATTGTTTCTTCTTTTCTGTGAAGAGTATTGTGGACTATTGTTTCTTCTTTTCTGTGTAAGGTATCGTGAACTATTGTTTCTTCTTTTCTGTGTTTGGCATCGTGGACTATTGTTTTTCCTTTTTTGTGTAGGGTATCGTGGACTATTGTTTCTTCTTTTCTGTGTAGGATATCGTAGAGTAATGTTTCTTTTTTTCTGTGTAGGGTAAAGTGGAGTATTGTTTCTTTTCTGTGTAGGGTATCGTGGACTATTGTTTCTTCTTTTCAGTGAAGGGTATTGTAGACTATTGTTTCTTCATCTTTGACTTTTGATTGCCCTTTGGCATCTTAGCCATTTTTTGGTCTTAAATTCCAATTTAAGTTGGTATGTTTAAACTTATGTCAAAATGGTAAAATGCTCAGGCAAATAGATCCTTTTATTCATGTTTAGATTAGTAAACCAGCAATACATGAACAGACCAAAGATATTACTGGGTTTGATCCGAAGCAGCATTATGCTTTAGCGACTTTATTATTTTATTACTGAGAGTAATTTATCGGATAAGGTCTGACCATTGTTAAATTGATTGATAAAATGTTGGTTGAGTAATGTCACGTGGCAAATATTTCATGCAAGTTTAGGACGACCATTGTTAGACCTTCCACTCCTTGCATTGTTCAGTCATTTGTAGTATACTTCCATATGTGTTATTTTTGTGTCACCTTGTAAAATAAATTATACATCTATGTAAACTTTTTGATCTTTTAAATAAACACATTTCAAAGGTTATCAATTTAACACAGTAGTAAAATCTTTAAAAATAATTGTTTTTATTGGTATCAACATTGACTTTGTTTTTGAAAAATTAAAAAATTACTAAATATATGTCTATGTATGATCCTACATTCAGTATACTGTTTACTTATATTTTGGCATTGCATTTCTCAGACTGTTGAATGTGTAATGATTGATACTTTAGTTCGGGAGAACATGAATTATACATTAGTTGTAATTGGCTTTGAACTGGCTTGCAGTAACTGCTAAAATTCTTATTTCAGTGCTTTGTTGTGTCTATTGTTTTTATGTTAGTTGTTTTTGTGCCTCTTTCTGATCTTTCGAGTTAAGCCAATTGCAAATGATTTTTGCAGTTTTTTCTGATGTTGTGCTGTTATATCTCTGTCCCAGCTCACAAACATGTTTAACCCCACCACATTCTTTATGTGCCTGTCCCAAGTCAGATGTCTGTAGTTCAGTGGTTGTTGTTGGTTCATGTCTGTCATATTTGTTTTTTATATATTGTTTTGTTATAGATTAGGCCATTAGTCTTCTCACTTGACTTTTTTTCACATTTTATGTCTGGGCCTTTTACAGCTGACTATATGGTTTCCTATAATGCTTACATTCATTTAATTTCAACTTTGGTGTGAATAGCTGTCTTATTGGCATTCATACTGCAGCTCCTTATTTTTATAGACCAATAAAATGTTATGTTTAAGTAATTTATTTCCAACAGTTTATATATATTTATAACAAATATGAAAATGACATATGTATATATCTTATGCTTAAACAAAGACACCAAAGCATGTCAATATGGTTCCATTAAATACGAATTTTTCCTAGCTTTATGCTAATTTGGATTGCAACATAAAGTAGCTTAAATTTTCAATTAGTTTTGAAGTAAATAACATTTTCTGAATTATAAATCTTATTCTAATCATAAGGGTAAAGAAAATAGGACATTCATATTGCTATTTACCAATGGATTTAATAACTTCAAGTTGAAATAAAATTAATTATCTTTAAATCAAAAATGATTTTTCATACAAGCACAAAGGATGTTTTAGATGCCTTTTTATCAAATAAAAAAGTAAAGGCCACTATATAAGCTTGCTCCAAATTCAACTATGTCAAAATAATATTTTATGCGGGTTATATAAATTAAACACAGAAAAGCACTATTGTGTGACTAGAGAGAAAACGAAATGATAAAGGATTAATTAATTCTAAATTCTTTTTTTAAATCTTAACTTAAATATCTGAGTTAACTTGTTTGTATACAGCATATCATAAAAAACATTTATCTTTTAATTCATAGTTATAGCCATATCAAATATTAAAATCCTACCATTTCTTAAATTTATTAAGTCCATAAACTTTAAAATTGAATTTTGCATTCAAAAAAAAATAAATTATGAAAGCCTTTGCAAGCATTTGAAGTAGAAGATAGCTATCAAGTCCCATATTAACTTTAATATAAAAATTAATTCATAACATGACATAAATATGAAACATTACAAGAAGCACAACTCAGCACATATTTGACATATATTGAACAATATAAAAATAAGAAGATGTGGTATGATTGCCAATGAGACAACTCTCCACAAGAGACCAAATGACAAAGATATTAATAACTATAGGTCACCATACAGCCTTCAACAATGAGTAAAAACCCATACCAAGTTCTTATTTGAAAATTTTCATTATTAGAAAAGAGTAAAATTTCTTGAATTATAGCATAGAAAATTATCTTAGAGATAGTTTAACTGTTTGATGGCTTGGTTTCCACTTTCAACTGTCCTTTCAAAATCTAAGAAAAATAATGCCATTTAAAACAGCAATTGTAATAACAATTGTTTTTAAATTACTATCAAAGAAGTTTCTTCCTTAAGTACATTATTATTTATTTCTAAGTATTCATTAGTAAAGGTTATTGTCTAAATCATAAATAAGGCATTTACCAATAAATATAAAAGGACAATTAATGATTCCAAATATGTATGGATTAATAAAAATAAATGTGTTTACTAAGAGAAAATTGCTTTCTATATTTCTATATTCAGTAACATATCAATAATAAAGTTTTATGAAAAATTTTCTACATCCCATAAAAAGAAAATTACTTTTATTCCTATATTTTCACCTTCCAAAATTTATAAGACAAATTTTCAACATTTAAGCATGTAGCAATCTACTAGTAATAGAAAATGTATTACATGTATTACAACTTTTGCCTCATTCCCAAACAATCTATATAAACCTAATACAGAACAAAAAATGTAATTAAATTTTAATTTAAATATATAATGCACTGCTTATTATGTAATAATGATTATGCTAAAAGGGATTAAAGAATAATCACATATCAGGCAAACAAAAACACAGTTATCCATTTGTAGATTGGGAAAAGACCTAGCTGTTCTTTCATAGATTCATTCTACAATCAAATAACATTACCCTAATTTATACAATATAAATAGCCTTATTGGCAATTATACCACATCTTCTTATTTTTATATTAACCTGGAGATAAAGTCTAACTGAAGACAACAAACAATTTACCATTTCAGTATTTGGAGCATTCTGGGTAACATTTTTAAGGTTTTCACAGAAATATTGTGATTGATTAACATTGTCATACACAAAAAAAATTCCACCAATGGTTGGCTTATATCTTAATTTTGGTACGAACAATGATATAACCCAGACATGTAGATTCTGAAACTGCAAATTAAAAGTAACGATGGTACAGGGGAAGATGACACTTAAAACTTAAATTTATGAAGTAAGATCTAATTCAATCATATAATGTATGCTTAAATGGTTTTACACTAGTAATTTTTTGGGGCCCTTTATAGCCAACTGTTCGGTGTGAGCCAAGGCTCTGTGTTTAAGACTGTACTGTGACCTATAATGGTTTACTTTTATAAATTTTGACTTGGATGGAGAGTTGTCTCATTGGCACTCATACCACATCTTCTTATATCTATTAAACCCTTCCTGTAGTAATTTCGTACTGAACTAGATTCTTTCCTATTCCAATTACATGACTATAGGTCATTTAGTATTGGATACCTAGATTTGAAACTTGTACAAATTCAGAGAAAAACAATGAAATAGGGTCTAGTATTTGACCTCTGTTTCGTGGCAGATGGTATGAATCTATTAAAGGTAGCTGACCAGTAACTGTTGAGGAGGATGAGCATATGGTAGTTGACAGTATTCAAAGCCATATTAAACTCAAAGAGGTGAAACAAACTTCAATTAGGTGAACTAAAAAATGCCATAAACATATAATATATGAATAAACTACACAAACAAATACCACAAGAAATATACAAAAAGCAATGATTTTAATAAAAGTAAGTTGTTAACATACTGTTTTAAGCTGAGAAAGGTACAGTAATATAATGTTACACCTTCCACTAAAGCCAGTATGGTTCACATAATGCCCAGAGGATGGTATTTTGGCACGTGGTATTACAGAGGTTGGTATATTTGCATGTGGTATATCAACTCGTGTTATTTTATTTCTGTCAAAGCAACACTAATTCTTTGTTTATGTGAGTGTAACTTATAAAAAGATAAAAAAAAATAATTATGTGAGCATAAATAAAAATTTGCATAACATATGATTTTAATATATATTTTTAATACTCTGAACCTTCTGTTACTCAAATTACATGTATTGATATGAATTTAATTTAACCAATAAATAAATAATAATAAAGATTTTATTGAAATATATAAATAAATAACAAAAAAGTATTTTACTGAATCATAAGTGCCATACAAAGACACATTGAAATCATGCATATGCCTAAATATTGAAACTATTTAGCAATGCTTAAAAAAAATGCATACACATTACTTCAAGAAAGAGTTGCATTATTTCATAATCTTTACTGACCATTATCATGTATATCATATAAAGCAAATCAGAAACTCCTGAAATACTACTGCTTTCATGCATACACACTTTATTGACAGATATCAATTAAAGTTGTGTGTAAAGTGATTGTTACAGGTATTTATTTGATATTCATTGGAATATTTAAAAATGCACCAATTACCACATACAATAATATATTTGTTCATGGCGATAATGACAAATGATGAAAAACATGTGATATGAATATTCATGAACTTCATTTCTTGGTACATCCATGCCAGTCTAAGCCACCACAAGCAGCTGATATTATGAAATACAAGATAACCTGAAAAAAGAAAGGAATTTAATTTTTAATACTATGTTCCATAGTGAATCAGACATGTAAATGTTTGAGACATATCTTATACAAAACAAGAATGCATGTGTTGAAGTGCTTCGCAGGAAAATGTCCGATATATCTAAAAAGCCCACACACATTACAACTCATCTCTGTTGACCTGCTATCCAAGGATGAAATCATTCTCTTCAGTATATCGGAGGAACATATGAAAAACAAGTAAAACTGTGAGCTACTGCTCACTGATGATACCCCCGCCGTAATATTTCGGTAAACAGGAAGTTGTTGAGTGATGAATCTGAAAACGCATCACACGGTAAAGCTGACTTATATAAACCCTGAAACCAAATTTCAGAAATCCTTGTCAAGTAGTTCCTGAGAAAAATGTGACGAAAATTTTCAACTTGGCTATCATGTGTAAAATAATACAAGTGTTCGGTAAACAGGAAGTTGTTGAGTGATGAATCTGAAAATGCATCATACAGTGTAACTTACTTATATAAACCCTGAAACCAAATTTCAGAAATCCTTGTCAAGTAGTTCCTGAGAAAAATGCGACAAAAATATTCATGGGACGGACGGATGGACTGACGGAAAGACAGACAGAGGTAAAACAGTATACCCCCCCTTTTTTAAAGTGGGGGTATAATTATTTAAAATTCATTCAACATATTGAAAAATTTAAAGTATCTGCAAACATGAAGTCGGTAAATGACAAAGACCTGAAAAAGTGCTCACACATTACAACTCATCACTGTAAAGCTGCTGACCAAATATAGTCAGTAGGTTCAGTAGTTTGTGAGAAAAGTGTGATGAAAATATTTGTTAGACAATCTGATGAACAGACTAGGTGATTGTAATATAGCCCCTACTCCTAGAGTGGGAAAAAAATACAATTTGTATACTGGTATAAGTAAGATCCATACAACATTATTTGATTTTTTTCATTAATAAGAGGCAACCTAAAATCTCTATGTACTGATTACAGGCATTTAAACAAATGAACATTTTAGTTTGCCAAATGACAAATGGTTTTCCTTTATTTCTTATAAAGATCCAGAGAAATGAAATAACTACAAAAATATTCAAATTACATATAACTTACGATAACAACAACTACAACTATAATGGTGATCTTGACATTCTTCCACCACATGGACCTAGCTAAGGTACGACTACTCTTCTTAAATGTCACTGACTACAAATACAAGTAAAGTAATAAGATATTTGAAAGTTGATGTAAACCAAAAAAATTGGACTCTGTACGAGATGTATGACCTATAATCAATGCAATTAAACAAACTTACCTACAAAAACCTATAGAAAGTTTTGTAAATCAAATGATCCAAACCTAGGTTTTGGATTTTCTGGGAATTTATTTCTATAGGTATCTGATATCTATATCTGCTACAGAGTAATGGACACCATAATTTGGACCTAAATATGAAACAAAATTTTAATAGCTCAATCATGGAACCTAGGCCATTCTGGTCAAAATATTGCACAATAAATTTGTATTTTATAGTGAATATATCACTAAATGTTTCTAAATACAAGACTTAACTCAAGACACTTATATATATCATGTATCTCATGTTGGTCTTACAAAATTTCTAACTTCAGTTGGACTATATAAGAGAATTCTAGAGGTGAAAATAAATAAAACTGATATAGCATACTGTTTTTTTTTTAATAAACAGACTCTTTGCAAAACAAAATAAAATAATCTTACTGAATCATACGTGCCATAAAAAGACCCATCCAAAAATGTTCAAGGAGATATTCGAAACACATAAATATTTTGTTATAATTTTCAATAATAAATACTGTTTAAACTAAAATAAAAAAAGGAATGTAGGTCACATTACCCAACTGTTCTTTGTTTGAAATAATTCAGTCATGAAGTTAAGGGTTAATGTGATTCAGCCGTTCTTAAAACCCCTACAAACATTAATGAATGCAAAGAAAACTTTAAAAAAAAATATTATAGGTTTTTAGAAGGAGGCTTATCACAAAATTAACAAACTGGTTAAATAGGTTGATAGCTGGCATTGGAGATCTATACAAACAGTCATTTACATATACCAAAAATACATAAGGATTCAATACAAAAAAAGGTTTATAGGAAGTTATTTGAATATTGGATAGTACAACAGATCACATCAAAAACTAGCACTGGACTCTTCCTGAAAAGAAAACAACAAACAACAAAAAAAACAACAAACATCACATGATCAAGATAGCCTGACCTGGTACAGGTACAACATGTGGTGGGGTAATACAAAATGTCATTAAAGAAAAACACTCAATTAAATAACCTATAATTGTATTCCAATTATTTCAATTCAGATTATCATATCTTCACCAATTTGCTTCAAAATTTGCATTTGTATCAAATCAACATTAATTTAATTCATTACAAATTTAATAAATATTTTTTTTAATGAATTGGAAACCAAAATATAATTTTTTTTTGTAGTATGCTGCACTATAATTTTCTATTATGTTCTGTAGTCAACTCACATTGGCTTGAAGGTCTTCTGTTTTATCTACTAACAGTTCTAATCTTTCACCTCTGTCAGCTATTTGATCTGAAAATATGAATTATAGAATAACTAATCGACGAATTCAAACAGAGAAAAATATTCAACGAGTGACCGAACAACACATTAATTCACGAATGCACGTAGAGCATGAGTTAATTATCAGTGTTGTTCGGTCACGAGTTGAATATTGTTCGATATTTGAATTCTTTAATTAGTTATTCTTTTTATTACATTGGCAAATGGCTTTTTTTTATGAAATTAATTTAGAAAATGTAAGGAACTATATTTTTTCCCTACGCATTCACAATTTGTTTTGATCCGACGTTATCGACGTCTTGACAACGCTTATTGTTGTATGACGTCAGAGAGTGAAATAACCACGTTTATTTCACATGTGAAATTATCGGTTTTTATTTAACTGGGAAATAAATATAAATCATTGCAATTAATGTAATAAATACTTTTAATCAACAGTTAATTAAATTTTCTAAAAAAATAAGGATTACAGAGGAAGTGTGAAGATCCAAATATAATCTGGTAGACTTCATTCTTGTTACAGTTCAGTTCAGTTCATTAGTTTATTATGGTCTCACCACATACATACAAGTATAAACACAATATGATATTTAATACACAATATAAAATTTAGAATGCATTAAGTAACATGAAAATGGACTAATTAGGCAAATAAGTAAGATCAGGAAAGTGAATGAAATTTGTAAACTAATTGATTGATTGTTGGTGTTTAAAGCACACTTGGCTATATTGTGGAGACCACTTTTTGTTGTTGGAGGAAGCTGGGGTACCTGGAGAGAACTACAAGTTTGGCAGCAAAATTTCATCCCAGTCAATTAAGATAGGAGTAGAAAGCAACTTGCCACAAGTCTAGAAGGAACTCACAATCTTGAGAGTTGCCAAGCTAGTGCTAACTTAAGATGAACTACTTAGACCACTCTGCCAACAAGGCCCCTTATTTGTTCCATGTGTTGGATCCTTACCAAAAAAAATTAAAAATATTCATAATGTGATAGACCACTTTCGAGTTCGTTGCATTTCCGTCAAATCTTTGTTTTAGGGAACACCATTCGTGTCTTTAGGGGCATCGTCACTTCCTTCCAATGTTGATTGAGCGGTTGAAAAAATATGATGCTATATTGCACAAATTATTCAGCAAATTAAATTCTTATAATTGATAATCAGCACTGCTGTCATTAGGGAATTGTGATTAAGTACCTACGGAACAAACATTATTTCTAGTTTATCCTGAATAATGATGACCATGAAGACGATTGAAAAAACTTTAATAGTGCATTGATACAGGCGATCCCCTCTATCTGGTAAATGACGTCATAAAGGCACGCATAATTGACAAACTTTTCCAGTGAAGGACATAACTCGAAAGTGGTCTATTGAAGTACATACTTATAATTACAACTGTACTCAAAAATAACTTCCTTTGTATATCTTTCAGTTATCATAAAATTTACATTGACCTATCTTTAATTTCTGACCATAAATTTCACTTTAAGCTTTTCTTCTGACCATGATTTTTATAATTAGAACTAACAGTATTATATTTGAATAGTTGCCACTATATAAAACCCTTAATTGGCAGTACTGTTATACCTTTTCAAATGTAATACTACTAAAATATGAAACATTTTAGATTTTCTAGATATTGTATTAAAATATCAAATTTACCTATATTTCTAACCATGATTCCTTTCAATTCATCCACCTGAGCTTCAACTTTCTCTATATTATCTTTTTCTTTGTGTTCTGTCAGTGATCTCTGAAAAGTAAAACAAATAATTTTATTTTTTTATGTTTTATCTTATACAAATTTATATCTAAAGGTAAAGTAGATGAGAATCTCAATAAAGAATATGTCAAAGGGGAATATCACCTGTGTTTGATGGGTCATTTGGAATCAAACTTACTTAAATCTCAAACCATATTTCTGAATTTTAAATGATTTGCCCAGTAAATGGAAAACTTGAAATTGTAATTTTCAATCCATCACAGTACAAAATGAGAAATATGTCATAGTCAAAATTTCAATTTTGAAATAAAAAAAAAAAGACTGAGTCAACATGCTGTCACCCTAGTGCTGGAAAAAAAAGAACTGTCAAAATGATGTTCAAACATGCTGTAAACATATATACTAAAGCTATGATATTTGACTAACTACCTACCATTTGCGATGCTATCACCCTGGAGAATTCACTGTTCATGGAATATGGTAAAGCTGTTTGTGCCCTTACTCCATACTGAGTCTGAAATCTATAATAAAAGGTAAATTAATTTACGTTCAATTTATACTACTGAACGGTGTATTTTACCTCATCTATAGAATAAAACCAAAAGTCTTCATTATCTGAGTGTTTTAGTGGATGTGTGACACACAGGATGTTTTTTTTTAGTACAGATTGACTCAAGTTTTGGTGCCAGCAAACATATTTAACCCCCGCCATATTCTGCTTGTGCCTGTCCCAAGCCAGGAGCCTGTAATTCTGTGGATTTCATACATGTATGTTGCAGTACATCACATTTGTTTTTCGTTTATTGTTTAGTACATAAATCAGGCTGTTAGTTTTCTCATTTGAATCATTTTACATTTGTCATTTCAGGACTTTTTATAGCTTACTATGCAGTATAAGTTTTGCTCATTGTTGAAACTTGAAGGGTGTACAGTGACCTATAGTAGTAAAATTCTATGTCATTTGGTCTGGTGGAGAGTTGTCTCATCGGCAATCATACCACATCTTCTAATATTTATATTGGTCATTGAAAAAAGGGGATAAATTCCTATAAATTCAATCAGTGTTATATACCTTACATCAGTCAAGAACCTTTTATATCACTGGATGATGATGTTCATTTTATAATTCATTTATCTATGGAATACTTGTCATTTTTTCCCTAGTTGCTTATATCCGCAATATTGGTCTCCATTGGATGGTTGTCTCATGTGCAATCACATGACATCTTTTTTTTTACAAAGGAGAAGGCATTGTAAACCGTTATTTGGCACCTTAAATTGCAAAAATAGTTCAATTCTTTTTTCCATTCATAGTAATGTTAATTATACTGGTAAATAAATAAGGTTTATATATAATATGGACATTTCAGTACAGATAAGTCAGTTTTGATGTTACTACTGTAAACAGGAAAATTTTAGCTGCAGTTTTATTTTCACTATTTTCGCGGTAAGAGTTGAAATGCAAAAATAAACCGGCCTCAAATATTTCAAGGAAAGTTGATTCATAAGATGAAGACCATACATGAATGTATATGAATAAGATATGTACAGGACCACAGCAGAACAACAGCTTCACAAACCACAGATCTTTACCAAAAATCATAACTTTAAATGTATTTCTAAATGTAAGGCAATGTTAGAAATCACAATTTAACTCATATTAGTCTAATTAACATGGAAGACATCTCAAGCAAGTGGATATTGCGGATATTGTTGTATAAACAATTGTTTCAAATATGTAAATAACAGCTGTCAATCAGTTTTACAATTATTACCTCATTATATTTGCTACACAGACTAATCAAAAGATTGATTAATTAATTAGCAGTAATCTTGGCAACAATTAATTCATTCTTAATACATGTAATATGAGTCTAATAAGTTATTCTTCTTTGTTTATTGTGTATGTGTTTTTAAAAGCAAACATGACTAATAACTTTGAACTACTTTTACATTAATTAACGGACAATAAGGATTTCTGATTGATTTTATCACTTGATTTACGACACATGTAAAATTGTTTTTTTCCAATCATCATTTATTATAAAATACTTATGTAGGACACTGAGATATCGTGAATTCAAAACTGCACGAATTTAAATTTGGTTGAGGAATTGCGAAAAAAAAAAGATGGTGCAAAAATTTCCCGGTTTACAGTATGACCTTTATGGTCCAAAAGGGTGATAATACACATAGTTTTTGGTAAAGTTAGTTTTGAGCCAAGGCCTGACCCAAAAGAAGATTTTTTACCTACAGAAACATCTTTGAAGAAGTCATTTTGCAGCAAAATATCTTCTTTGGATAAAGCCATGGTTATATTTGAATATAAATGACAAGATGTCAAAAAGAGACTATTTTCGCAGGTTTTGCCGTTGTGCAAGAAATGTTTAGAACTTCCAAGCCTTCAAACAAACAGGTAGGACACAATTCAGAAATGTAAATACTTATATCTGACTAAGAAAGGGCTTGTGAACATCTTTAGGATCTGTTTGGTAGATTTATTATACTTTTTGATTTTTCTAGGGGCAAAAGAATCATACCTTCTCCTTTATTTGTTTTACAGTTTATCACATGACTCATGTGTGTAATTTTTTACAGTTTATCACATGACTCATGGGTGTCATTTTTTACAGTTTATTACATGACTCATGGGTGTCATTTTTTACAGTTTATGACATGACTCATGGGTGTCATTTTTTACAGTTTATGACATGACTCATGGGTGTAATTTTTTAGTTTATCACATGACTCATGGGTGTAATTTTTTTACAGTTTATCACATGACTCATGGGTGTAATTTTTTACTGTTTATCACATGACTCATGGGTGTAATTTTTTTACAGTTTATCACATGACTCATGGGTGTAATTTTTTTACAGTTTATCACATGACTCATGGGTGTAATTTTTTTACAGTTTATCACATGACTCATGGGTGTAATTTTTTACAGTTTATCACATGACTCATGGGTGTAATTTTTTTACAGTTTATCACATGACTCATGGGTGTTATTTTTTACAGTTTATCACATGACTCATTGGTGTAATTTTTTTACAGTTTATCACATGACTCATGGGTGTTATTTTTTACAGTTTATCACATGACTCATGGGTGTAATTTTTTTTACAGTTTATCACATGACTCATGGGTGTAATTTTTTTACAGTTTATCACATGACTCATGGGTGTAATTTTTTACAGTTTATCACATGACTCATGGGTGTAATTTTTTTACAGTTTATCACATGACTCATGGGTATAATTTTTTACAGTTTATCACATGACTCATGGGTGTAATTTTTTACAGTTTATCACATGACTCATGGGTGTTCAGAGAGTTCTTACTATTTACATTGAATTGAATAATGTACAAAAAGCAAACGTTTTGAAAATTACTGTTGACTTAATATGTGCCTAAAAATCTAGACGTAGAACATTTGTAAATTATGATATAAAATACAGGAAATCATTTTTCATTTTGGTGGTGCTGAATCATAGGCTTAACATTCTTTTGTTTGCCTTTGATGATATGTTTTATTTGTGGCATATTTTATATTCAAACCCTCTCTGTTGTATTCTGATACTAGTCATAACAAAATTTAAATTAAAATTGATTTCTCCAATCTAACAAACCTTCTCTTCACATCATTTAAAAACAGGAAAGCTTTAGATCTCTCAAAATCCTAAAATGGAGAAAAAATTATTTTACTACCGATAGTTAAACAAAGTAATACAAACATTTAAAGTGTTCTTCCTAAGAATTTTTAATAGCACTGTGGTATGCACGCAATATTTGATTGATTCACTTTTTGTGTTGTGAAGTGATGTAACATTTGAATTGCAAATTTGGAAATATTAAAATAAATTAAAAAAGAACTGTTTTTGTTATGCTTTTACAACAATTTATTTATGTTAAATTCTTATTACATTTAGTTTAGAAAATAATAATGCTTGTATTATTAAAATACAAATCATTAGTAAAGTTCAGACGTTCATATGCAAGAATCTTGCAAGAGCAAGACATTAAACATGTCAAGGAAACAAATTCTGAATAAGAATGCTAGAAATTTGTCACTGAAATACACTATTAAAAGTTTGTAAAATTTGTTCATACAGCTAACATCAGCTTAATAAAAACATGAAAAACAAATACAAGATAAATTACTGGAATATATGTTTTCCACAACACAGAATACCTGCAATTATCTGCAACATATACAAACTGTACAATAAATGTACCACTGTAGGTTTATGACTAACGACAGGTATGTTTAAAAGAATTTGAAACACACCAGAGCTTTGACATGCATTGCTTTAATGAGTTAATTTTGCCTTAAAAATGAAATGTGGAAACTATCTTAAATAGGTAAGACCTGCCCTTTCCTTATTCCTATCTGCTCAAGTATATATACATGTATGTTCTACCCACAATGCATTTGTTTGTAGTCTGTTATATACTTACATCATCTGTTATACAGAGATAAACTATTCTGTCTTCATTGATATAATGAAACAAGTAGCTGAAAATATATTGCACTTTTATATGATGAAAGGAAGTAATTTGAAAAGACATATATAAATTCTGACTAACAAGTCATATTTATATACTTGAAGAGGTAAGTCAGTATATCAAAATAAATTTTTACGATTTTATTTTTTGAAAGGTTTGAAAAATCTCCCTTTAATAGGTTTCAAGAACATACTTTAACAACCCCTGAAATCCTCAATGTTTTTGGGGGGTTTGCTTACCATTTTTAATTAAAGCTCAACCTTAAGCTTTTATCTCAACATCCTCAAGAACTAATCAATTTCTTACAGATTTTATACTACTACTCAAGGCCTTACAAAATTGCTCATTAAAGGCTTGTAAACAGGCAATATTTTATGTGTACTGTAACAGACAATTGAAATGTCCTAATGTTATGTGAAGTAAAAACTTAAAACTCTATTAGAGCAATTCACGCATAGAAGAAAATATGATTGTTTAACTTATAAGTAAAGTAAAAGAAATCTGAATGAACAAACAATGCAACAGACAAACTCTACTTCAAAAACCAAAAACCTAAATGTTTTCTATCAAGATGTATCTATAAATTTTCAGTCTAGATTTATGTTTTATATACATGTATCAGACATTCTATTCTAGGAGACCAATGTTTGTTTATTTATTAGTTAAAAATAGACTTTCTGTAACTGCCAGAACTCTTAAGATTGGTACTTCAGGTGTCTTTTTTGTTTGTTTTTGTAATGGATTTTTGTGTCCTTCATATGAATCTGATGAGTCAAGCCATTTCTTACAGAATTTTACTGATGTTGTGGTGTTACTCTACTGCCTCAGGTAAAACTTAATGGGAGGTTCAATGTTAAAAACAATGTATAACTCCGCCACATCTTCTTCATGTGCCTATCCTGAGCCAGGATCAAGTGGTTGTCTTTGGTTATTATTTTTAGTATAAATCAGGCATTTAGTTTTCTCTATTCAATTGTTTCACATGTTGTCATCCTGGGGTATTGTATACCTGGTACCTTATCATGCTTATGTTTCTATACAGTATAGGTTTTTTATTCATTGTTGAATGTCATGTATTGACCTGTTTCAATCACATCTTTGTCCTTTTGTCTTTTATGGATAGTTGACTGATTGGCAATCATAGCACATCTCCTTATTTTCTTCAGATCTATAAAGTGTATAATGTTTCTAGTGAGATAATAAGATTTACTGAACATGCTGAAGATGCAAAAACATACGACCAGTTTTTAAGATATTGGTTAGTTTGGACTGTCAGAGATATTGTTACTTGTACTACTTACCTTCCATGAGAGTATGTTAGTTTAGAATCACCAGGTGATATTTTTGCAAGAATCTGCTCTGTAACTTCAGTAAAATTTCCAGCACAACTGGCATACTTTGCTAAAACAGTTGTTCCTCTAGACACAACACAAAACAAAATGGGCATCTTGTCACTTATGTTTTATACAAAAAAATTAGTCTTCCTGTTCTTCAATACAGAGGAAGGAATAGTCTTCCTGTTCTTCTATTCAGAGGAAGGAATGGACTTTCTGTTCTTCTATTCAGAGGAAGGAATAGTCTTCCTTTCTTCTATTCAGAGGAAGGAATGGACTTCCTGTTCTTCTATTCAGAGGAAGGAATAGTATAAATACATCTTCTTTTTGTGTATAACTACAAAATAATTGTACAATTTAATTACATTGCTTTGAACACAAAATTATATTTAATTTTGCATTTTTATGGGAATATATTTACTGTAAAATTCTGAATGTAATTTAATATTTATGTCAGAGGAAGTTTCTCTGGGTTGTATACATGTAAATGTGCCACTTTTCTATGAAATTTTCATGTTTCTGGTACATACACATTTTTGTACTTTCTTACTTAACTTTCAAAATATTTGGAACATTGTGAATGTAATGTTATATTTTTTGTGAAAGTTCACAATAAAACGAGGATGATAAACCACCTGGTAAATTTTTGCTTACCGGGTATGTACTTTGTCTATATGCCATTTTGTGTTTCTTTGTTGAAACAGTTATTTGTTTTTATAGTGATTAAGATTATATTACAATGTACATGATGACTGCTGTACCCCGATTGTTGACGTTTTTACTTATCATGTCTGTTTGTTTTGCTCACACATTGTTGTCAATATAATGGAATTATATGCCACTGTCATACAAGTGAGAGGTTCAGCTAGCTATATAACCAGGTTTAATCCACCATTACATAAGGAAATGCCTGTAACAAGTCAGAAATAAGACCGTTGTTTTCCATTCATTAGATGTGTTTGAGCTTTTGATTTTGCCATTTTTTAAAGGACTTTCTGTTTTGAATTTCCCTTGGAGTTCGGTATTTTTGTTATTTTACTTTCTGGCACCTATTAACATGATAAAAAAGGTCAAATTGGCATCTAGACAAATCGTCACCTGGTTTAATTCAGTACCTACAGTACATGTATTTAAAGTAATTTTGCCAATTGGTTAGTCAATTGGGCACCTAACAATATTTTACCTGTTTTCTGTTTTCAATTTCTATAATTCCTTTTGGGAGTTAAAATCATTATTAAGAGGCTGTCAGAGTGATTTTCCTGCACAGTTGAGCAAGTATGGACACAACATATAAGCTTAAAACAGCTCTGAATTTGGATTGTAATTGAATATTTGACACAGCATAGGTTTGTGACACAAAATGAATGTGGTTAAAGAACTGAAAAATTTGAAATTGGACATTTACCTATTATGGTCCAATATCCAAAATCTAAGAACATTGTTAGAATCGGCATATCAAAGAACCCCAAGAATTCAATTTTTGCTGAAATACTTATTCATTAAATAATTTTTCTTGACCTTCATTTAGTCATAGGAAACAACATATCTAAATTTGAAAATATTTCGTCAAAGCATTTTCATATAAATGAACGGACACTGTTTGGCAGCCGCCCGCCCTCCTGCCGTACATCCCCAAATCAATAACCGATTTTTCTTTCAAAAATGCGGTTAAAAATCATCACATATATCATATATACATGTATAATCAACAATGATCAAGCAGGTAAACAAATTTTTTTCGATATTCTATTTATACTATATATTTTGATCTGTTTTCTTTTTGAATACTTAATAACAAATTATATCTATCAAAATAATTAACATGTTTGTTGTTTTAACCTCTCTCAGGTAGTCTTTTCTGTTTCATTTTTCAACAATTGTTCAAAAAAAATATCAAGCTGTTACCTTAACAAAAAGACTTGAAAGCAGAGTAGTTTTACATGTTTTAATTATCAAGCTGTTACCTTAGCAAGAAGACTTGAAAGCAGTGTAGTTTTACATGTTTTAATTATCAAGCTGTTACCTTAGCAAAAAGATTTACTGCAATTTTGTAATTTTAGACTAAAATGCGATTTTAATTTTTGTGATATTGAGAAAAATCCTGTTTAATTCATATAAAAAATTTCAAAATGCAAGTTTAAATTATTGCGATTATAACCCTGTTGCTTTTTTTGCAATAATAAAAACATTGCAATAATTTCTGAATTTACAGTATTTATTTGTTCATGTTGTTACAGGTATATATAAAAAAAAAATGCAGTATGATTGCTAATGAGCATAATGAGACAATTATTCACTAAAAACCTATGCTTTATTAGGACGAACGTAAATATCATATTCATCAATAATAAATAATGTGTCAACATGGTCAAACAATCTATAATTCATACTGGTTCAACTAGAATCTCAACAATGACCAGGTGTTCAACTGATATACATGCAGGTTTCAAATACATGATCCGTTAAGGTTTTAAGTATAAAACTAAGATCATATTTATTTTTATCTGAGAACTGTTTTGTTTAGAATGTAAGCATTAATTTATCACCACTGCAGGTGCACAAGATCTATGTAATCAGTAAAAAAACAATCATAATGGTCACCTAATTCAAAATCTTCTGTAAAAATAAACTACTAACAGAGATAAAATGCAAATGTTGAAATTAAAATGGCAATACTGTGACATGTAAATTATGCCAAATATTGAAAGTCAGGTACAAGGCCTAATAATCTCCATGGAAATGAGATGTGCCATACAAATGCTTATACAACTGCATACCAAATATCATTAGAAGTGTTTCCCCTTAAACTGATCTATTCATAAACTTTTAACATGTAAACTAATCAAAAAGTTTCAAAGTCAATAGACCGTGAATAAACATGATAAGGGGGCAGGCCAGAGCTAATTAATATCTAAGGAAATTAGATGTGCCAATGCTTAAACAACTGATACCAAATTTGGGGGAAAAATTTTATTTTATTTTCTCTTGTAAAGAATATGACATTTTGATGATTATTGTTAATGGCATAAGTGAGATGTATAATTACAGAAACAATGTTAGCAGTTTTGTATGAACTGTTGATTTTATATGTATACCTATTTTCTTTACTATTTTCTAATAAATGAATGAATAAAATAGAGTTAAGCAGCATTTCTTCTAAATAAAATAATTTCATGCTATTTAAATTTTTAAACAGGAGGCATGTCGTCTAACATTTTTATTTTCTTGTAAATGTTACATATTTGTATTGTTTATTTGTGTTTGTACAGTACAACCTGTGACTTCCTCTTAGTTATGTCCACCCTCTTGTATGGTCACCATCGAATGGTGGCCATTTATTGGGGTATTCAATCTTGAGATGTTGGCCATTTATTGGGGTCATAAAACATAGGTTGATGTCTTATCTAATTATGTTACCTGTTGAAATCAATCAGGGTTGAAGTTTTCAGCTTGTATGTTTCATTAAAATTTACCTGTACAGGTAACTCAGGTTTCTTCTCAAATTGACATTACACCTTTTCTTGAAAATGTAGAATAGAATGTTGTTTTAATCTTTGTTAATTCATATCATTTGTTGATTTTTCTGTCTATTTTCTCTTTTTCCTAATGTTTTAATTTTATATGTTATTTTTATTTGTTTTTTTGCTTCTTATTTTTTTAATTTCTTCTTTGAAAGAATTTTGAGTGGAAATGACAAAAATTCAAAGATAATTTATTGACTAGCATTTGAAAACAAAATAGAATCCTTTAAATAATTATTTTTTCAGTAAAAATAGTTATTGCACATGATGTACATGGTATTCAATTGTTCGTTTGCATTACTAAATGAATTTTTCATTAATTATAACTTATAATCATGCAAATGATATGTTTAAAGGAACCATATGCATGAAGAATGTAGGACAGAAAGTCACAGGACAAAAAGTCACAGACAAAAAGTCACGGACGAAAAGTCACAGGACAAAAAGTCACAATTCAGTTTTGAGATTATTTTTCTCTTAACAAGAAAACACTAATTTAAAAAATAAATTTTTGATTTTTTCTTGAACTATAATATATGAAGCAACTTTGTAATTAAAATTTATTCAATAAATATCAATGATGATCAAATAATTGTTATGATAACAAAATGTCAAAGTGGTTTAACACTTAAATGGCTTCATGGTGCTAAGAAATATATCATTTGCATGATTGAAATTTAATAATTTTTCATTTATCAAGGCTTATGAACAATTTCCTAAACTTGAAAATGAATAAATGTAAGAAAAGAAATTATTTGAAGATCTTTCTCTTATATATTCAAAGAATTGTCAACAAATTATTTGTGACTTTTTGTCCAGTGACTTTTTGTCCTACCCAATTTGTGACTTTATGTCCTGTGACTTTTTGTCCTGTGACTTTCTGTCCGTTTACCATGCATGAAGCAAGTAATTTAACAAGCCTGTTTCTTAACAAATTAGAATTATCAATGTCATGAATATCAATCCTTTTACAATAAATTTTGTTAACAAAGTTGTACAATCTATTATCATGATTATTATTCAGGAAAACTACAAATATCATAATATGGTATAGGAATAAACTATTTTGTTTATTTTTTATATTTTTCAAATCTCAAAACTGGAGTTGTGCATGAAGAATCACTAAAGAGACTTAAATTTTTCAAATGTCTACCTAGTTATCATCAAATTTTGATAAATGCTAATCATGATGCTAATCAAAATAAAAAATGTTCTTATCTCTGAATAAAGTAAATCTTATGAAAAGAAACTATTTAAAGAAAAAAATTGTTTTGCTTTTTGAAACAATTGTAAACTTATCAAATATGTTATCCTCAGTTTGACTAATTTTGTCAGTTAACAGGCAAAATTTGTCTCCAGAAAAAAATAAAGTACACTTCTATATAGATTGTGACACTTTTATGGTCTATTAATTAAATCACTTTTTGTTCTGTGTATTATATTGTGAAACTGCAGGACTGGCATTCCATGATACATATTCTTGGGTATACATTTGCAAAGAATATTTCACTCCACGTTAACTCAGGCCTTTTAGATAAAGTTAATAATTGCAGGGACTTGAATGAATTAAGATTCTTTAACAATGTTTAAAGCCCTTGATTAAAAATGAATTTTAAGGAAAAAAATAAGAATATTTTGAAAATAAAATAAAAACTAATGATGAAAACAGTAAACTCAAATGCTTCACTAAGTAAAGAATTAGTGGTCATAATTTTGAAAAAGAAAATGGTGGATAAAAATTCCTATAAAGGATAGAATTGTTTGTAAAATTAACATAACAACTTAGAGATAATCTATTTGAAAATTGTTTACCTTCTCATAATAATGTCTCTGACCAGTTTATGAATAAAATCTTGAATCTTATAAATAAAATCTTAACCAGGAAAAAAAAGTAAAAGAAATGCTTAACCTCTATAACATGGAACATGTTTAAAATATTGGCTCCTTTATAAAAAAAAAAGTCATTAGAACTGAGGGCAGAAACCTAATAATTTTTTTCCATGTGTTTTGATTTCTTTTAGAATTGTTATTTCTTTGCATTATAATGTTTGTTTTTGTTGTTTTTTTGTCAGTAACTTGATGAAATTGTAATATGTTTATATGACAAGAAAAATATTATCAAATTTTTCTGTAATGAATATTTTGAATATACATGTATTAATTTAATAGAGAAATAATGAATTGCCTAAATTTTATTTAGAATAAGTCCTAAAGATAATCTTAAACATTTGTTAAACAATGTTAAATGCAGTAAGTATAAACAATTTTGATTTTGGAAAATTAATTTGAGAAACACCTTTTTAATGGAAGTCTTAAAGATAATCTTAAACATTTGTTAAACAATGTTAAATGCAGTAAGTATAAACAATTTTGATTTTAGAAAATTAATTTGAGAAACACCTTTTTAATGGAAAAAGGCAGTCGTTGTGAAAGTTTGCATTATATTAGAAGATGATATTCATTTATTATTCACTTGCCAAAAAATACATGTAAAAAATAACTTAAATTGATAGAATTATTTGAAAGTTATATAACATCAAAACAAACAGTCATGAGAAAATTTATAGAAAAAAAGTTAGGAAGCGATATGTTCAACTTGTTTTATTATTTCATTTTATTTTAGAATTTTCTTGTCATAATCACAGTTATTAAATTTGACAAACACATATATTTTACCTGAGACACTTTACCTGTAAGTTTTATAATTTTAACACTTCAATGCAGTCATGATTTCCCTTTATCCTTGACTAGTTTTTGATTAATACCTTGTGTATTAATTAAGCAACAGGAGGTATAATGATGGACATTTAGGGCCATCATGGTGACCATATTTTTTATGGCCACCATTAATCAGATAATGTCACAGGTAGTACTGTATTTAGTAGCAATCCGATTGTTTGCATTTTAAACTGAAAAGATATCTTATCTTATCTGATCTTATCATGACAATATTCATTATTCATTTTGTAAAAAAATATTATTTGCAAAACACTACAGAAACCTGCTGACATTTTTAGAGCGTCCCTCTATTTTCAAACAATAAAAACAGACCCAGATTTTTTTATTAAGGGGATGAAGTCCCCTAAAACAGTAGAAAAATCAAAAAAAAAAAAAAATTTCCAATGTCATGAATGTACTAATGAACTCAAAATCGTTATCTTATTTTTTCTAACTTTTTTATTTTCCCGCATTTGCGCAGAAATCTCTATCTTTCTTCCGGTCTCATTTGTTGTGAGACTTTGGGTATAATGTATTTTTCAGTCAAATATATAGGAATGAGCATAATAACAATTTCATTTTAATTATTCATGGATATGAAAAAAAATTACCTGATGATAGCATCTGTTTGTTTACATTGAAAACGACGTAATGACTAAAATGACGCCACATCTAAAATCCATAACAACAGAACCAACATTGAAAATGACGTAATGACTAAAATGACGCCACATCTAAAATACCTAACAACAGAACCAACATTGAAAATGACGCCACATCTAAAATCCCTAACAACAGAACCAACATCGGTAACGTAACGGCATATCCGTTTCTTTTTGAACATTAAAACATGTTAGAATTAAAAAAAAGTAATTTGATTCGGACTTCATCCCCTTTCACAGGTAACGCCTGCTTCATATAAGTTCTCATTTGAACTGTATCCTATAATAATAAAATTGAGAATGGAAATGGGGAATATGTCAAAGAGACAACAACCAGACCAAAGAGCAGACAACAGCCGGAGGCTATATGGAAATGTTGCCATTATATGAATATTTGCGCCATGACAGTCATAAGGATGAAATACAAAATTCGTTTTTTTATCATTGTAAATTGATACTCTATTTTTGATATAATACTTTTAAATGGGGAAAGTACCCTATTATGAGGATCTTCCCCAAACTGTCATGTGATCATTACTCATTCCATATCATTCCAATTTCCATTCAGTTTCTTTCGTTTACGGAGACAGAATTTCTTAAATTAGAAATCTATCACATTTTGAAAATATCTATACCATTTTAATATATTGTATTACCTTATGTGTGTTAAAAAGTAAATTTAGACAGAAATCTGATAGAAAATCCAGTGGCTTGTTTTGTTTTAACCCACTTCCGGTTTATTCAAATTTTTAAATCACGAGGTCAACTTCCGTTTATATTTCCGGATTTTGGAGCTCTTATTTTGAAAACAGAGACATACATAATTATGTATCTGTTTTAACGTTAACTTAACCTGAGACTACTGTAACACAGAGATTATAGTAGTCTCAGACTAAACCAATTAACTCATATCTGGGACTATTGTACTAACGTTAGTATAAAAGTCCCAGCACATATTTTGAAACATTCCTGCGAGTTTGTGTTTTCTACCTTTACACTGCAAATTTTGATTAAGAGTTCATTTTGTAACATATACTTACAGAAGTCATGTTTGGCGACGGATCCGGCTACCGTTTGATTCTCAGTGTGTGTATATCATAGATAATACATTATAGTAACATACAAACGACCACAAATCTACCCGAACAGGCCCAAGGATTTGTAAAATACAAAGTCAAATCCTTGTATTGCTTCAGGTAAGCATTTATGAATTTGGGGTTGTATCCATTTTTTATGTTATTGAGAGAAATATTTTTTTTTCATTTGCATTCCGCCGGTCAATTCCAGTTCACCCCCGGCGTTAGACAGATATTGAAGTAGATTGATTTTTTACCACCATGCTCCAAAATTTATTGGGTTTTACACCACAACATTTCGTCATCAAATTATTGAATATTGAGACATGTTCTATTTAAATATAAGACATGATATATTTATGTAACAAATCAAGATGGTCTTCCACTGTTATCTTTAATAAAGGTCATACAGGTACATATTTAATAAAGGTCATACACACTGTGTATCATCGCCACCGGAAATTGGGTACTAACGAAGCGGAGAGAAATAGAAAAAAAAGTAAACAAGGTAAGTATTCATTCAATTTAGAGCATTTCTACTGATTTGACGAGGGTACCACTTAAGAAATGATTTTCTGATATATAATTCTTTAAATTATTAGGCCGATAAGTACAAAATTAAGACAATATTTTGTGTTATACTCCAAAGCTTGCCACTTAGTACCTGAAAATTTCGAGGTCGATTGTCCTCTGTCGCCCCATTGGCAAGATATTCAACTGTTTTTCATTATTTTTCCAGACACGTTTTTAGATTATGATAGTGTGACATCATATTGACTGAAATCTGTTGTCATAAAGATGTTTTTAAAGAATATGGACCAAAACATTGTTTGTTTATTGTACGGCGAATTGCAGGACGTTGTACGGCGAATTGCAAAATAACAACTTTTGTCTGTACGGCGTCTTGCAATATATTGTAATTTAAAGATGAAATTAATCACTTTTTAGATAATATCAAGTGACGAAATTTTGGCTGTATCAAAGCTTTACCGGCTTACAAATATGCAAAATAAACTACTTATCAAATATTATAAAATATATGCCGTTAATTTCGTTCAGAAGTCGTCGTTGCGTACCTCTATTTGACTTTGTGTTTTTAAAGACAAAAAGGTTTTTTCAACCATATTATCCTAAATACATTCATATATCGTTATAATACTAACGACTATTGTCTTATTTGTTGTCAGGGTGAAATTTTGTAAGTTCAATAAAAAAAAACCCGACCATTCATCTTTTGTTGGTGCTGTTTTTTTTTTTTTTTATTTTAAATATAAACAGTGGAGATGTTGTATGATTGCAAATAAGATAACTATCCACCAGGGTCAAATAAAGTGTATGTAAGCAATTATATGCTATCGTTTGGCCTTCAACAACGAAAAATCGTACCTTACAGTCGGCTATAAAAAGCCCCGACATGAAAAATTGTGGGAGGATTCAACAAGAAAACTAACGGCCTAACTCATAACAAAACAATTTACGAAAAATAACAAATATGATAGAGATGAACCAACGACAACCACCAAACTACAGGCTCGTGGCTTCGGACAGACACATAAAGAATGTGCTCTGTTAAATAGATATAGGAAGATGTGGTATGAGTGCCAATGAGACAACTCTCCATCCAAGTCACAATTTATAAAAGTAAACCAGTATAGGTCAAGGTGCGGTCTTCAACATTGTTTATTGTTTATTTTTTAAATTTCCGAAATGAATAATTTGTTAAAAGAAGAGTGAAGAAAATACTTTGTTTTCATTGAAAATTAGGAGAAATAAATCAGGAATTGTGTTTCGAATTAATTTTCTTGTTTCTTATTGAAAATAAGATTGTACTTTTTTTTTAGTTTAAGTAAATGCAATCAATCTTTTTATTTACAGGGGTAACACGATACCGAATGGCATATCTCCCGATTTCCAAACTTTTTGACACACGTGCTCTTTGAATCGAATTACATCGGAATATGTAATAAAAAATGGGGGTCACCATTTTTGTTTTCTTGGTATTTTGATAGGAATACGTCAATTTTGGCGACAAATTTACATAGGTATATAGGAGAAATGGCTTTTTTTCGGCTTTCCTTTTTAGATTTTCCAATGGATGGATATGTTCTTATATACGGAGAAAAACAAAAAACTAACATAATATCCAGGATTGCATACTGAATCCATACACGTAAAAAAAACTCATATGTCACCAATCCTTGTTTTTGAGATAAATGGCTTCAAAGTTGATCGATATGCCTAGAATTTGACCGAAAACGTATGACGTTATTGAATACAGAATATAACGTTATTCCTACTCAGAGATATGGAAAACAAAATATGTGTCAGGATCTGAATGTTGTTTATTTTCATTTCCCCAGTCGGGTTTCGTAAATTTCCTAGTTATGCAATATGAAATTCTACTGATATAAATTTATTTCGTCCTGCACATGGAAATTTCACTCACATGAATTAACATTAATCTCGTCTGAATTTCACACCAAACGAGCATATACTTGAAACTTGCTTGAACTGGTTGGTTCCACGTGAATCTTATGATAATAGTTCATGCATAAATCAACGGAATTTGGTACACGTTGAATTCACGTAAATTTTTATAATAAGATTATTCAAATAATATCTTTATTCTAAATTTAATTAAAATCATGAAAAATACCTCCAAATTTTTGTAAAGTTCACGTGAAAATAACATGAAAAATTTCACGTGTGGTTCATTTGAATTACTGAGTTTTTAACTCCATCATTTAAGACAATGGTGGTGTCATCGCTGCATCCATGCAGAAATAGAGTACTTTAAAAATTTGATTCAGTTAACAGTTTTATAATTGCTTGGTTTTTGATGGTTGTTTAACGTTCAGTGGCACGAATAGTTCATGCATGTTCGGGACGATACAATACAATTTGGAAAACAGTTGTTTATAAAAGACAAATTTGATGCACCAGTCAAAAAAGGTTAAACATTCTGTTAGTTGTGAAAATTATGAGGGAAAATAATGATCCTGATAAAATACACATTCTAAAAAATAAAATAACAAAACTCAAAGAAAAATTCAAAACTTAAAAGTCCCTTATCAAATGACGAAATCATAAGCTCAAATACATCGAAAGAATGATAAACAGCCGTCATATTCTTGACTTGGTACATACATTAGTATAGTGTACTCTACGTGGTGTAAATGTGTGAGTTGGTTGGTTGAGCAAGTCGGACAAACCTTGCAAACTGTATGCAAAATTTCACAAAGTTCAACAGTCTGTCATTTGTGGAAAATAATTTACAAAACAAATCTTGAGATCATATATTCATTCTTTATAAGTAAAGCAAACCGCGAAATATAAAAGTTCCAGCTTGAAATTCCACATGTAGGAGATGTAAGCCGGAGTCTGTACACTGCGTTCCTTTTATATGTTATCAAAATGCCTAATCCAGCAACCTGTCATGAACAAAAAATAAAGAAAATCCAGACGACATGCGTACCTTTAATATGAGTAGTAACACCAGGTAAATAATTTAAACCTGAAGCAAAAAGACTGTAGTCCTAAATAATTAGCCGTATGTATAAACCCTATGTATATATGTCAAGTGCGGGATTGACGGTCGAACGGACACGGGTGAAACAATATGATGATAAGTGCTCTATTGGAATTTTGGTGACAAAACATATTTTTGAATATGCAGTTCATATAATGGAATGGTAATTTGGAGATCTAAAATGAAGTAGCAATGTAAGCAAGCTACCATTTCCGTCATTTTGTCTTTGGTGGAAAGTTGATTAATTGGCAATCTTACCGCATCTCCTTATTTCATTATGGTTTGAATTTTCTCAAGAAGAACAAAAGTTTTAAGACTTAACAAATATGTACTAAGAGACTGAAATGTTACTGTGATAATTATACTACACATACTTTCCAATTTAGGGGACCAGCGTTTACTAAAGCTACAAATTAGAAATAAAAAGATACTCGTCCAATTAGCATTAGTCACAATTTTCTTGAGGTCTTTAGTTTTGATGTCGTTAAATGTCCAGATGTTGCTATCTTATAAATTGCATATCCCATATCTCCATTTATCATTATAACAGCCAACTTTTGTACAAAAAACATGTACCATATATTTTTTTGTTTTATTTGTACTTGTCCTTTTACAAATAAAGTCTCATGTTACCCCACTTCCATAATGAGCAAGCGGTCGATTGCTTTGAAAAAATTAGAGGCAATGATTTAAATTTTAACAATTAAAGTTATAAGTGACGGGTGTAAATTGTAGGATTGATTGTAGGTTGCTTAACGTCCAGTGGCAAATAGTTCATGCATGTTTAGGACGAGAACAAGTTAACAATAAATACAATAGCTAGGTTTTGTAATAGAGGCCATCTGGGATGATGGTCGAGAAAATTTGGACTGACACTGGAAAATGAGGGTATATTGGATAGGGACAGACATTTTGTTTCGCAACAGGCCACCTACGGACCTCTCAAAGAGTTGTTTTAAGGGTTCTTAATGTTCAAAGAGCGTAGAACTCACTTTACACGAGGCATCGGATTTAACGTCCCCATTCTGACCGGACGTGGGTGCAAACTTGATACATCCCGCACAGCCAAATGGACGCCCCACTTTGGAAGCATTTTCTGACTGCAGGTCGGAAGAAGACCAAGTGACCATATTTCTATTTCCTAGTC